TGTGCGCTAACATCTGTGAAGAGCGAAAAAGCTCGTGAGTAGCATTCTACCTTAAAATGCTTGGACAATAATGCTAAGATAAGTACAGTCTTGTCTTTTTTGTGTACAACATTTTGCCGTAATGGATCAAGGGTGTGGGTGTGTTTGTGGGTGGGGAATGGCCTAGGACCCCTTCTCTAAAATGGTAAAATAGTTCAAAAATGTTATGTGCAATAACTTACCAACGTAACACAAAGTAAACCAATTGAATTTAAAACCGAGAATATAAAAATGTATGTAAACAGAGCTCAAAAACACTTTTTGAATATTATAAATAAATATATCATTTATTGTTGTTTTCGAACCCCCTATTCAAAAGTGCTGGCTACGGGCCTGACTAAAAACAAAAATGTAAGTGAATCAGGTGAAAAATCCGTAAACTTATTGTTTGAAATTAGATGTCTACCTAAGAATTGCGCCCCCAACGGTTCACATGTTCCATTACTTTTTATGAGAATGAGTTATTAGAGAGGGCAACTTGAGGGGGATAACTGGTACAGGTTACAGGAAATAAAAACGGCTTTTTACGTTTTTACAGGAAATATAATGAAAGTTCCATTTACAGTAAAAAATTGGTTTTTACAATTTACAGATAGAGCAAATTCTTAATTACATTTATTAACATTTTTATAATATTTTTGATAATTTGTGTTTAAGAATCAAAATTCGAAATTTCGTATGAGTTACGACATTTAATTTGGAAAATGCTTTATACGCTTACAAAAAATAAAATCTTTTTACAAATTACGGACGAATAAAATAGCTGATTACATTTTACATCTTGCCCATGAATTTACTTTTTTTTTATTTATTTAAATTACATTTTTACGAAAATAAAAACAATTGATTACAGTTTATGAAAATACCCCTTGCCGACCCTCTAGGTGAACATCAAATCTAAGATCATATAAAGATGAGTCATAAAAACGGGACCTGAATTTTAAAAAATCGGATAATTACGTGTACTTGGTGTTCGAAAACTGGCAAGTGAGGTTTGAAACAGTTAAAATAATGACAACTGGACCCAAAATGGTCGATGTTGAATACACTTTGGGCAAAACAATAATTGTGTTTTTGCAAAAAGATTCCCCAAATTTTGCTACATTGGTCGAAAATCTTTAAGTTAGTGTGAAAAAGATCGACTCGACCGTGAAAATGGGGGTCAAAAAAGCGGCGCGTACCCATATACTTAAACTATATGAGTACAAACAAACTTTTTGTCAGATTTTTGTATTTCAAAATTGTAATCGTGATGTTTTCATATATTTGTTAAAAATATTTTTATCCGTTTTTTCTATTTTGTAACTACTCGGCTTTTTTGTTAAAATTGAGCATTTCTCATTTTATTTTGCGGAAATAATGATGCAATAAAACAAAGCAGCAAAGCAGCAGCAAATGTCCCTCAAACCCATCAACTTTACTTTCTCATATGAAGCTAATATTATATCCACTTTGTTATTTCTGATTTGTCCAACTGTATCTGCTTTATCGCAGATATTGCCCATGTGGTACAGCATTTGACGCAGTATAAAAGTCGTCTGCTATGTGTTTCCATTATGTTGTTCTCCATTGTTCTGACAACGAATACCGGAAATGTTTGGAGTCGTTTTATTATTAAGTGGGGGTGTCAATGTACGCGTTTAAAATATTGCTCTAGAATTTTTACCTTTATAATCAAGATTATGATTGTGTTTCTATATTATCAATAGTTTTATATATTAGTGTATATAAAACCGTTATTTTTAAGGTTGGCATTTGCTAATTATCAATTTATTTTAATGATCGCCCCATTAAAAAAGTTGACTGGTCTCAGAGGTCATTTCCGTAAGGTCATTGCAGTTGCGCACGAATTCAAACTAAACAGCTACGCTTCATAAAAGTTGGTGTCGAAGGAGGCGGAAAGACTTTAGATAATAACGTTTTATTTTTATTTTAGAGCATCCAGAGTTGGATCGTATACTTGAAGAAAGGTAAGTACTGTAAGCTGACTGTGTATATCTAATTTTAGGGAAGATCAACTGCAAAATTTTCTTTTCAAAGGCCGACCCCGCTGTAACTTTTCGTTTGAGACATGTTTGAAAACTAGTGAATGGAAACATGTAATTGCATGTCTCTTTGATGTTTGTTGGGGAATAAATATCAGTCTTATTTACTGAAATACTGTTTTAAATCTTAGAAAATAGCAGAATATGAGCGTCTCGGCTGAACTCTGAAATCGTATCCGAATTCTGACAACACGGAAGGTGACGATTGTTTTGAAACGAAGTGAACGGAGAATCGCCGAACTCTTCGATCTGTAGTACACATTCATAATTTATTCGCTGAAGAACATGGATAATAGTTATTTCAACACTTTCAATTCCTCGTATATTTTAGTAAATAGTATACAAGTACTCTCCATGGACTGATGCATTCATACTTTATAAACTGTACTACATTACGCTATGTGCAAATCACCGACACATGTGCTATGTATGTTCTGGTAACCAACAATTCAGAAATTTACTTTGACATGCTCTGTTTTGATTTATATGAGAGTGAATATTTATTACTGTTCAGTTTATGATTCAACTTTCAAATTTGTATCATCTTCTATAGTTGTTAAAAGCCTCTGATATGTGAAGTTAATTGAACTAAATTCAGTTCACAGTTAAACGTGTCAGTTCCTGATTGATTTTGCCTCTCTGAGACAATTAAAGTTATTTTTTTATCTGGACAAGCTAAAATCCTGTCAGGAATATTTTGAGGGAATAGACTTGTTTTTGCCCAACAGTGTTCAATTCTCTCCCAGCATCATGTCTACTGTTGTGAATATTATGGCTACATAGAGCAGGGGAACAATGAATGAATTTATTTCACCATAAACAGAATTTTACAAGAACTGAATAAATAAATACCTAAATCATGTAGAGACAAATTTTAAATACACTGATTATGGCAATGATCACAGAAATAGTTTTTTGAACAAGTCTAGTCAACGATCTTTCAATTAATAAATATAATAAATTAATAATACTTAATAATAATAATGATAAGTAAACAAATAAATAATTCAAACACACACTGGATTATATGTTAAAAAGATAGTTAGTTGATAGCATTTTAAACCTGCATCTGTTAGTTATTAGTTTCATTGTTTCTGGGAGTGAATTCCAGTGTTTTGTTTAGTTTGTGGTGTTTTAATGTAAGATAGGGAGATAGATTTGGATGCAATAATGAGAAAAATTCAGTTCGCAAGATATATGAGGGAAAAAAAACAAGTCTTGGTGCTAAAGATCTTGAAAACTCACAAAATAATCTATGGATTAAATTGCTCAGTAATTCTGCCTATTAACGAAGGAGCCTCTGAATACTGTTGCATTTTGCATGTACTGTTAAAATGTAGTGTGTGTTTGAAATTGGTATAAGTGTTGTATATGTCAATACCATATCAAACACGTGACGTGACTACTGTAACGCTTCAAGGGTTTTCAATAAAAGTACTGATTTAATAGTTCTAGTAGGTAGGAGTTACCATTTGTCAAATTCATTAAGAAACAGATGATAGAAAGGAAAACTTATAAGTGCGCCCTCACTCGTAGCTTCATAGAGAGTGCAGTTTTTTTACTAATCGTGTCAGCAAAGTATTCCAAGGTAGTGATGGTTAGCAATATGTCTCTACACAGTCCTTGACAGCTTTTGTTAATAAAAATACAATACTTTTATTCTATTTTTATGACTGATATGTAGCCGTAATTTTTTTTTCTTGTATGTTATAGATTCAAATTTATACCTTTTTGAAATGAAATTGTAGCCATGAGTACTACTGTAGAACGCAAGTTTACAACACTCCGCAAACGTCTTGACCAGCTTGGTTATCGTCATCCACTGGGAATTGAATCATTACCGTTAGTGGAGCGACTTTTCAGTGACTTGGTACATACCACAGAAAGCCTCAAGAATGCCAAGTTACAGGTAAGTACATAGTAAGGTATCTGATGGTTGATTGGAAATACCATGCTGGGGTTCAACTAATGACAAAACCACAAAATAGTTTTAATAATTTAACTCTCTGTTTAGCCACTTGGCAAACAAGGAGAAAGTATAACATTATATATTGAAAAATAGCTATTGATTGGAACAGTGGATAGAAATGTGTATATACTCTAAAATACTTTATTTTCTGGAATTAATTTTCACTGAAAAAGACACTTCTGATATTATTTGCACTGATTGATTCTTTCAGCGAAAACAAATTTAGAAATTTAATTAGAAAATAAAGTGGAATTTACAGTAGTATCAGGTACACATGTATACAGTGTTTGTCAAGACAGGTATTTAAATGATGAAACATTTTCTCAGAAAGACAAAACATGATTTAAATTTCATCTTGTTCATTGTTGGCAAAAAAGATATTATTTTTTGGTAGGCAAATCGTAAAGTAAGCAATGGCAAACAGTCTAACCGTAAGCATGTGATTGATTAGCTAATTAGATGGCATTGCAATATGAAGCTGGTGCATTCTAATACATGTTTACCTAAAATCTAATGTTTTTGGTGTGTATGATGTGCCATCAAAACAAGTAAAGAATACTGAGAAGAGAATACTGATAAAAAAAAATCTATTACTTCCCACATAAGGTTGATTATTTATATTAGTTCTGGAGGAGTTCTTTTATCTTGCAATTTTCTGCAAATTGTTACCACTACACTGGCTGGAAATTTCCTGTGAGCAAGTGACAGGCGACCAGAGTGATCATTCCTCAAATGGCTACAAAATTTTGCTATTTACCTTGTAATTAAAGATAATTTTCACATGTGAGATTATTTGGCTGTATATTTATTTCTATAGCTTTATTTCTATAACTTTTAATGAACTGAAGACTATATTCGTTGAGAATGAATACTTACTAGGTGTGTCTATAGAAGTCTTTACAGAGCGTGTTGTTTTTTGGCAGTCAACCAAATATACACATTACAAGCTAATAATTGCAGGTTTGATCCTAATAGTCATGAAGGGGGCTAAGTTATGTCATGTTAGCACAATTTAGGGCATGACTGGTTCACACACACACAAAACAAAGTATATACTATTGGTTGTTTGATTCTATTTATCTCCCTACTCCACCTATGCCTGAGGCACTGTGAATTATATTGTACAGGATTATTGTAAACTGAACAATTACCAATATCTCATACGCTGACAGTTGATTTTTTCTTTGTTACCTATTGTTGTTTTCTTTGTCCTCTTGGAACAGGCGAGTAAGTCAGTTGAACAGACTGGTGACTGGGAGGTTGCTGTGGAACCCTATCGCAGTGATAATGCCAAACTAGTGAAAGAAAACAATGAGTTGCATCTGCAACTTATAAAAACCAAAGAAGAAGCGGAGTCTTCCATCAAAGATTTGAAAACAACTATCAGACGCATAGAACATGAAAATGCTGATTTACGTTTTTTGAACACTCAATATATTCATAAAGTCAGAGCGGTTGAAAAGGAATCAAAATTAAAAACTGATAGGATAAATGAATTACAGGAAAAGAACTTCCACGCTGTTGTACAAACTCCTGGTAAGTACTTAGTTTGCATATACTAATTGTCATGCCATAGAGGATAAACGCAAACAATATCTTGCAAAAAATACTTTCATATTTTTAATATTTGAATACTTTAATATTTTCTTTTATACATAACATATATTGCCTTTATTACTTCCTGGACTTTTGTGGTGGTACTCTAATTCATCTTATTTTGAGACTAGTCTGGGCCTCAACTGTGATAGAGATTAAATTTATATACCAGGACTCTCTTTGCTACCACAGTCCCTGATTGTATCTTTTGAAATAAATGATGCCCTCACATGATCAAATTGTAGAATAATTTACCTTGTGTACGTTTGAGGGCGCTTTGCAAAGCACCTTTTTTTAATGTATCTAAAAATTAATAATAGTCAATTTCTTCTAATTTCATTGCCATGCCTTGATTTCATACATGTAGGCCTAGTTGATATTTATTCTATAGTTGATTTCAAACTATTCTAGTATGCACGGAGTGGTGCACTGAAATTAGCTTAGATACAAACATAGTTTTTAGTAGGTACTTCACAATAGCATTTGTTTAATCTCCGTCATTCTAACTATTAAAACACTTGACATGTGTTCCTGACAACAATTTATTATTTTATCCCTCTTTAAAAATCGTAATTGTCTTTTGGAAAATCTACTGATCAAGCTTCCAATGTCACATTTGGTTTGCAAGCGCACGTTTTGAATCTTCATGGAAACCGACAATGTATTTTACATGTGTTGTATACATCGCATAGGACTCATATCAAACACAACATGATGAGGATATATTAGGAGAAACAAAATTCATACTTTGTTTGCTTTGAATTCTTTGGATTTGTTGACCCTATTCACTATTGTGGCTAACAATGTGTACGGTACTGAAATAATTAAACCCCATAACAATGTCAAGCACTTAATACAGTTCTAAAATAGAAACATACAACACTCGAAAGGTTTACTGGTAATTGAATTCTCTCTATGTGTTTGTGCGTGCATACAATTGATAATGAAATTCAGACAAAGTGTCATCATGACGTCCACAAATCGTTTTATCGTATGTTTACTGGTATCTTACCATTGTGGTATCCTAAGTAACCCAAGTAAAATGGTTGGCATGTATTTATTAATGTCACCATTGTAAAGAAGATTTTTAGGCGTTTAATTGTGACAACCATGTATGTTAATTTGGAAACTTACTTGGAGTGTTATTAAAGTTAAACTAATATTAATGATTTCAAGTAACAGAAACTATAAACAATAACGGAATTATAGGCTGCAAAAAGAATGAGTTCAAAGATTTGCAGACACAGTGATACCGTAATGGAAGTGACACCCACACTTGTAGGGTTGTAATTCATTGATATATCCATTGTGTGAACCTGAATGTCAAACACAACACTCATATTTACATCTCTGTATTTTTCATGACCTTGCAGTGGTGTGTGAAAATACTTTTGTGAAAATATTATATTTAAGAATATAATATTATATATGAGAAAAACAAAATTTTAAAATTGTGTGTAAAATAATCTGAATTAATTAAGACTTTTAAATTATTTAACAGAGATATTAACTTTTTGGTCTACTTTTTAATCTTTGTAATTTAAATACGTGAGGAGTCGTATACATATATATTGTTTTCTTGCAGGGGGGCGTAAGCGTAACATTCCATTCCGTCGCCAGCGTATGGAAATAGACGGCACAGTTCCAGCGACTGATAGCACGCTACTGTCATCAACTCAATCGCAAGGTGAAGATCCGTACGTGGCAGATCTTATCCGGGTAGCTGACACTAGAATTGACGCTTTGCAGAAAGATGTTGATAAGCTAAAAATAGAAGATGAGAAGTCGAAACGGACCGTCAGAAGTCTTAAGAAACAGGTTAGTTAACCATTTATTGTTGTCGTCCGAGTGGATATCGCTTGTTCACAAACATTTATGTTTTGGTTTACTTTCTGACAAATGTGCAGTGAGTTTTCAGGTTCTGATTAACTCTGATGTTAAAATATATGGCAATTTTTAAGGCTTTCTCACAATTTTGAAATTTCTCATTTCCATATAGTTGCAAACTAGTCTGCGTCTGTCCCACTTTCTTTAGTTTTCTTTATGCAGTTGGTGGTCTGATTCATTGTCTCTACTGGTCAGTATCTATGTCCTCTGCCAAAGGTGACACTGACCATGGACTCCTTTTTACTCATTGTCGAAACGTTGTGTAATCGTTCCCTGCTGAGAGTAGAGTGTTTAGGTATGACAACAGGTTGCCCATGGATATAATGCTATAGAAGGCAAGGCATAGTAAATCATTCACGCTATTTATTTGTTGTGCCTCAGGGTTTCAACTAACTAAGCGTATTTCACTTTATCTCATATATCTCCTTGTGTATTTGTGAGAGGGATGATACTTATATTTACTTGTTTAGGCCAGATTTTTATTTTCCCTTGTTTCGCGAACCCGCCGAATGAACAGAAGCCAAAAATGAAATAAAAATAAAATTTTATTTCAGTGTATTTTCTCGCGCCCGCCGACTTGTGAGTGCAAAAAATTGCTAAAAAAAATTATTTTTATCTTCATTTTTTTTCCGCTTGCCGCCTAACAAATCCAAGTTGCATTTTCATGGGATTATCATGATCAAAGTACCGAAGTTTCGCACAGATCTATACTTTATGCGCGTTAGTTGACAGTGAATCTCGGTATTAACCTCTCTGCGTACTGCTTGAGACTACTAGGCGAACATGGCAGCGGCGTGGTTTGTGGTGACAAGCCGTGAAACTCTATCGTCAAAAACCGAGAAATCCCCCATTAATGCTGAAAATTGTGCCACAATTGGCAACAATAAAATTTTATTTCAGTTCTACTCTCCGATTAATGATCTCACGTACAATTCTTTGAGAATCCCACAAATCTAATGAAAAAGAAGAATTAGTTTGTTTTTTTCGCCCTCCTCAACAAAATTGACTTATAAAAACTCAAGAAACCAGGAATAAAAAAAGTCTGGCCTTACTCATAGAAGTAGTCATGTTGAGACTTTACAAATATTTGCTCTGTTAGTAGCATATATGCTTTCTGTAAATGACACAGGTCTTTCTATTTACAAACAGAAATGAATCAATTTTAATGATTCGAGCTTACAATAAATGCATTTTTTGGTTAATGTTAATGTATTAGAGATGCACTTCCAATGGAACCAATATGGTACATGTACTATGTTTGCTCTATTAGAAGCGCATCTCCAATAGAATTGTTATGCTTCTTATTTACATAAGTACATGTGCTACTAACAGAGCAAATACGGTGTTTGTTTTTGATTATAAAATCTTCATGTGAAGACAAGTCTTTGTCTTAATTTAATATCAACTTCTCCAATCTTGTGTTGCTAACCATCTTTTTTATCTACACCACCAACATCTGTCAGTTGTCTGGCATATGTGTATACATGTACATACTTCATGAACTTCTGTTGTTTCGAAGGTTGTGTCGAGAAATTTTGTCAGAATGTGTGTCCTCTTCTGTTTATACTTTTATTTTACTTGTATAGAATATTTGCATATGTTCTGTAGATATTTTTTCTGAAATGCACTTGAAGGCAAGAACAAAAAAAAGCAAAAATAATGTACATCTGTGTGTTCAAAACTAGGAGACAGTTCCCAGTTACATGTACTTCCTCTTGGTATATTAGTCTAATAATGGAAACAAATTTAGAGAGATAATATTTATTTCACTGTTAAATTTGCTTTGTTTTCTTATCTGTTTGTGTAGTTGATATATCATAGTTCTTTCAAACACAATAATGACAGCAAATGATAAACATAGCACACTGTCATAACTATAAATACATTTGTAACCATCACAAAAAAGCTTAAACTATGATCAAGCTGACACAGTTTAATATTATGTATTTACCAACATTTCTGTAAATCAAATGTAAACCTGGCTTTTATCCGTTCTCTAAAAACTACCTACATGTATTTGCTATCAAAGTAAGCTTTCATGTTTTCTGTAAACCTTGTATGCATCCCGTCATTGTGATATGGTGTTTTATTACAATCCAGTTGTAATTAGTTGGCTAGGATATGCTATTCTATGAATGTTATTTATGACTTCAGATAAAAAGATTTATTGTAACTAACCAAAAATTTATTTTTATTAATCAAATTATCAGAGCATTAGTCATAGCAGTTAACATATTAAAAGCAAATGTACGTAAATAAAAAATTGCATTTATAATACAATAAATGAAAATAAACAAATAAAATAAATTTGAACATGGATACACATTTGCCATTTACATTTCAAACTGCATATGTACTATTAAAACGAATATAGTATTTAAATAAATCACTGTGTGCTGAACCAAACCCCAAAATGGCAGTTACCGGTACTGTGAATTACCGAATTTTCTATTATAAGCATTTATGCTTACATAAAAGACAGGGGTGTAATCATATTTTAATTAAGCCAGTATATAATAACTGTTATTTTTGGTCTTTATATCTGTCTATTAAAGATGTGCTTCTAATAGAGCAAATACAGTACTTTATTTCAGCTCTAATGACAGAGGTGTAATCATATTTTAATGAAGCCAGTATATAATAACTGTTATTTTTGGTCTATATACCTGTCTATTAGAGGTGTGCTTCTAATAGAGCAAATACAGTACTTTATTTTAGCTGTAATGACTGAGGTGTAATCATATTTTAATGAAACTTCTGGTAGTATATAATAACTGCTATTTTTGGTCTATATACATGTCTATTAGAGATGTGCTTCTAATAGAGCAAATACAGTACTTTATTTTAGCTGTAATGACTGAGGTGTAATCATATTTTAATGAAACTTTCTGGTAGTATATAATAACTGCTATTTTTGGTCTATGTACATGTCTATTAGAGATGTGCTTCTAATAGAGCAAATACAGTACTTTATTTTAGCTCTAATCATGGTTCACTGTTGAGGGATGACATGTGCAACTGATTTGCGCTTTCAGGTTAATGTAAACTGCAGATTGTGGAAGAAAAAAATGTTGTACAATAATTTATTTTCACTGGTTTAACTTGCAGCCAAAACAAATTTATGAAATTTATAAAACTATAAATTCAAGCATGATTTCACAAAAATTTACTGTCAGGTTTAGAATATGTATATGTATGTGTACTTGTATGCACCGTTGCTATGTAGCAAACGGTTGTTAAAGATAACACCTGTCACTAAATGTTAATTGAACTCTATACCAGTTGAGTGTGTTTGTTTTTGGAGAGTAAAGGGGTGGTAGTATACATAAAAGGTGTGGAATTTTGTATGCGTTGCAATTTTGAATATTATGCTGGTTAATAATTATATTTTAATGATGTTTCCAGCCCTAAACTATGCCAAAACTTAACCCTTGCAGTTTTTAACCCCCACCCCAACCTTGTCTTGTGTTTTATGTAAAATATTTATATGACTATCATGCACCCTTATGCTATATTAACATTTAATCATCAGCCAAGAGACATTGTAATAGAAATATGGGAGCTTTTGCTTTCCTAACATTTAACAAATTACCGAAAAATCTGTATTAGAAGCCGCATCCCTAACAGAAGTCGCACCTATTATTTTTAAACAATTAAACCAAAAATTCATTGTTTCTCATATGTGTAGATGCTCTAATAGAAGCCGCATCCCCTCTGTTGCATTGTACCATTTTAATAGAATTCGCAGCCTCTAATACAGATTTTACAGTAATATCCTACACAGTATTACCAAATTCCCACTAAACACGTACACTACTAGTAGAGCGAATACAGGTACACTGATACCAGACACTGTGACCCTGTACCAGCATCTCTGTATGTTACTGGGTTTTACATTACACACTTTAACTTAACTAACTTTTGTAGTACATCACTGGGTTAATTCCCGCGAAAATTCTCACAAGAAAGGTATGGTTCAGTGCCTTATCTCAGGAGAGTATGACAACAGGTGTAAGCAATTAATACTCTTCTTATGCCTAGTTGATTGCTTTTGTGGGAGAGAATAATATTTTATGGATTTGGTGGAAATGTGTCACGTAGTTGATAAAAACGCCATGTGTGCTGTATGTATTCACATTATCACGGATACAGCACGTCTGTTCAGTTTTACGCCAATCACATACAACTTTTAAACTTGTTGGGTCAACACATTTGGTGTTTGGTGTAATACGTTCCTTGTTTTGCTTGGAATGTATTATGAAAATGAGGGAAGATAGTAATCGACCATAAAAGGGAAATATGGCAATGTTTGTTGTTTTTGATCGATGCTAAGGTCTTCTATAGAGAGAACTGAAGATACTTTGAATTGTTAGATGTTAATTCTGAAATAAAAATACTGCGTAAGAAAAACATCTCTCATAGAATTTGACATACCGTAAAATACTTTATTTCCGCTATTTTTGATGAAAAGATGTTTACATTCAACTCATCATAAATCGGTGAAAATAAATTCTATACAAAACACCCAAAAAGTCTTCGAAAGTATTTTACAGTAAACTAAACATTGCATTCATTAAAATATGATTTCGTTTTGACAACAAATACAGTTCTGTCATTTACGTGAATAAAGCAAATTCGATAATTTTATCTTGAACTTTTGTTTGATACATGTATAATAATTTTATAATGCTGAGAATGCATTTTGAAATACCGTGTCTATAACATTGTATCATGATATAAAACACATTTATTAACTTTAACCCTTTAACTGAAGTCAATATAAAATTACATTTGGCTGGCAGGATAAGGATTAAACTATCCATACACTGGACTACTTCATTTTAGCCAAAATTTATTTACACTGAATTATTACCATTTTTTTGTTATACATTCGTCACTGTAATTCCACAAATTTTTCAGACCTTTCCTTT